GGTGACAGCTAAAACATGTGCGAACAACACTATGATTGCTGTGGAGGCAAGATATCTGGGCTGAGTGTTTTCAAGTTAAATACAGTTCGCGCCGTGGATCTTGGCTGGTTGAAGATGACTTGTCCATAAAAGCCAAGCTCAAGTCAGCTTTTCGCGTTTTGAACCACCCACAATGAGGGGTCGCGGAGGTTGCGTGAAGCACATTTGATGCTCGATGATACTTGCTCGCTATAATCTGCGTTGGAACCGCGACCACCAGCAAGGCGATGTGTGCAAGAGTTGCTATAGGCAGTACTATCTGTGTATTTGTGAACAATACTTGCAAGGAGATGGGAGGTGATGTATAACGATGGTTGGATGAGGATGTTGGGGGTTAAACTTGGGCTGGTTAAGGAGCTGCCGCAACGGACGGATGTTTCTTAAGGAGATGTGAGAGTGAAACATGTTTGAAGCTCGAAGGTACAATGTGACGGGGGTCCAACGATCCTCCAGTGTTAAGAGCCTATTGGTATAAGTAGGCGCTGTGTTTACCTTATTGTCTGTGAAGAGGGCAGATTGAATGGGATCGTATTCATAGTTCGGCGCGTCGCGGGATACAAAAGCCAGGGCAGTAGACTGTGCAGCTTCTTTCGAGCTGTTGCCATACCCACAAAGGCGTAGCCGTAATGGAAAAACACGCTCTTTCGGTGTTGGAACTGTACTGGAATACTCTGCTTATCAAAGTTGAATATGCAGAAAGCAAGAGACACGAAGAGAGAAGAAATGCAACCAGACGTGAGGCTGAGTAGTGGAAGACGCCGCCTGGAGTTGCGACTTCTGAATTGGTTGGTGATCGCCCTAAGAGTTGCCTTTGCCTACCAAAACCGGGCCGCGAAGTTACTGGTTGCTGAGAAGAACTGGTCTCGTTCCCCCGAGTAAGCTTTGATGCTGTTCATTTGCTGCGTATTGAGTGACTGGGTTCGTCTTCGTGGTAGGGGTGTGTATATAATACAGAGTTAGACACGAGTGAAAAGGGCAGCAAAATCGATCACTTCCAGTTCGCTCCACTGCGGTGGTAGTGTGGGATTGGACGAGTACTCAGGTGCTGTCCACTAGAGAAAGTACACACGGTAAGTGCGTTTCCTTGACTTAGTTTCTTACGCAGTTGAGCGTCATTCCAAAGGGAATATGTGACAGGAATTGACGGTAAGCAAGGACATACGGCTAGCTGGGGAGAGTTTGAACAATTGCTGATGATATAGAATGAACTTCGCGGCTCTTCTGTGCCCCAGTGGGCAACGTTTCCGAAGGCTTCCTTTACAATTGCGTTGCTGTGTCATGTCACCTCAATCTCTTTCTCTAATTTATAGCCATTTCTCCAGACATCACTAGATCTGTCCTCAATCACCCTTGAACAGTGATCTTCTTGTTTCGGCGTGAGTGAAGTCGTTGCGTCTTCCAGCTACTTTCCAGGGGGGGGGGGGGGGGCCCCGGGGGTTAGGGATTTAANGGGGGGGGGGGGGGGGGGGGCCTCAGTAGTTAGAGTATTAGACACCTGGCGTGTGCTTAATATGCAGTTCTTGATTTGGCTCCATCTTGTTATCATCACACACTATTACGCTGTTTTTTCTTCGATTCTGTGGTTCACGCAAAAATTCCCAGAGAGGTAGATTGCGTCATTAACTACGAGCTCGTTTGCGGTCTATCGACGATGTAAAGCAATTGAGGGCACGCTGGACTCGAGAATGTTTGTCACAATCAGCAGTGACGTATGACCGTTCACAATGTAGTGATGCAGTTTTCTTATGAGAAACTCTCCTTTGACACCATCTTGCTGTCGTCTTTACATTCTGCTCTAGTATTGCTCAGGAAACAACATCGGGATTGGAGCGCAAGACGAGGAAAAGTAAGTTGGTCCGTCAGTGTTTGCAACAGAGAACTCATTGTCCGACGTGAAGAAGCTCAAAGTACTTAGTAATAAGCTCTCCAAGCTTACACGACACCTGCAAGATGGTACCGGTTATTGGTTGGTTGTTTCAACGGGAAGACGAGGTGCCGAACCTTCGTATATTACGAAAATGGCTCATAGCGATGAAGAAAAGCAAAGCCGAGTTGCATATATATTATTCAACTATGACCTAAAGCAGAAACTCACGGGACAATGAAAGGTCTTTCAATAGGGCGACAATCTCAAGTTGTGCAAAGCCACGGTCTATGATCCATGATGACTCTCAAAGGATTGCTTGCATGTCTTCGCTAGACGGCACCTGGGCACAATAGGCGAAGGAATATAAGAAGGGATGCCAGACATGATGGGGGAAATTTTGTAAGCTAATATTGCTTTAGATTGTCTCTGCCTGAACGATGTTGATCTGTTCACCATTGACAAGATGAGAGTGCCTCAGTGTATGGGGGGCACAGAGAAGTAACAACCCAAAACGCCCACCTGTATTCAGGTTTGTGATAAGCTATTCACAGAGAACCTAACTAGACAAGAAAATACCTACGATGTTCGCAGAGGTATCCAGATGCCCCAGATACAGACGGCCGAAGCTGACATTCATGTCCCAACTGGATGCAACTATCTTGATTTTCTAAGTTTAGCTCTAATTCTACTCATCGTCCAAAACGTCGAATGGGTTGGACGACCTTTTCTTCTCCGGCAACGCTTGATGCTCGGTCTCGGCCATCTTCTTTCTCTTCTTCTTCCTATTCTTTGCCTCTTTCGCAGGAAGTAAATCACTTTCGGGTATCTCGAGTGCTTCTGCAAGCCTAGCTAGGTTCCCTTTGTCAAGCAAAGCCTTGGTTCCGTCTACTGTTGGCCACTCCGTCAGAGACGGCAGGGTTTTCAGAAGGTCACGAAGTCTGCCAAGGCCTTTGGGCATCTTTGCTGGTTTAACGACTTCCAGAAGGACCAAGACTTGAGAAAGGAGACGGAGGGAGTAGAGCATGGCCTGGACCTGCGCTGACAGGTGAACGACGTCCCATGGGATGAGGCCGGAGCCTGCCTCCACTGAAAGAGCCTGCTTTACTGCTCCAACGCATACATCGTACTTGCCGTCCACCTTGGAGCAAGCCAGGACCTGTTGAAGAGCCACAGTCTGCCACAGTGACTCGGCCTCTCCCAGACTATCCTTGACTTGGCTCAGAGTGTCATAAAGAAAGTCGGTGTAGTCTTTGATAGATGTCCGAGGAAGAATGATGATATTCTTCCCTTGATTCATCCCGTTGTACACTCTTCTGTACTCTCGGACAGGGGGTGACGCTCCTGCTTTCAGCAAGGAAGCGAGACTATACGCCAACTGTCGGACAGAAGCGCTGCTGTCCCATGCGCTTGCACGAGCAGGACAGTCGAGGAGTGGCGGAAGGCACATCATACACCCTTCCGCTCCCTTCTCCTCAGATGAGGCAGCGGAGGCCCCTGAGTAGCCCACGAATTGGAGGACGATCTCTGACAGCCTGGCATCAAGCTTGGGATTCTTCAAGCTCCCAAGTACGGGGACCGCGCTCCAATCAGTTGTATCCAGGGCTTCGTATGGCTTACAGAAGCTGTGGAAGTCTTCCGGGTCATTGACGTCTCCCTTGCAGCTCTCGAGAACTTGCGAGAATTTGGGCCTGCTAGACTTGGAAAGTTCGTATCCAAACCGCCGCATGCCTTGTCCCTCGGGCAGCTTCAACCGCTTCTCCACGTCCGAAGGACAGAACTTCAATCCAAGTAGGCCATCATTCCCATCTGCGGACCCTATGTGGAGGTCCTTGAAAAAGACAACAGCCCCTTCGTTGAGGTCGTGTATTGTGAGGTCAGAGTCGGAGGTTACGATCGTTCCTCCGTTCTTCAGGACATCGTCTGCACAGTAAGCGTCCGCCTCGCCCGGTACCAGACGCACCAAGTCCGCATACTTGTCACTTTGGCTGAGCTTGTCGACCACGGCAGCAACCAGGAATGGAGGGGGCGGGGTCAGTGGCTGTTCTCTCTTTGGTGCGTCTGTCGGAAAGAGAGGAGGCTGCCTGTGGTATGTGACTGAGACCTGCTTGGCTGAACAAGCATTAGGGAACGTTGAGTGGAAGAGCTTCAGTTGTGTCGAAGTCCTCAGTATCCTGTCCAGTCGGACAGGAATCTTTGATGGTGGGAGAAAGCCATCGAAGTAGATCGCAGCTCTGCAACGCGTAAGTCTTCAAAGATACGGTGGTGCTTTGGCTAAGGCACGGTACATGGAGATTTTGTGACTCGTGAGCTTTTCTAGCCAAGCGATGGTAGTGTCACTGAGCAGTTGGTAGGAAGGAAGGCCGGTGCTGCTCCTCGTGCAAAGGTGGTAGATGTGATACGCCAGTGCAGGGCCGTCGATCACAACTCTGTCGCCGTCCACAGGAGCGAGAACGCCATATGGAGCGAGGTGGTGGATCAAGTGAGGTATACCCATTCTAATGACCGTTCCTGACTGAGCGTACGTCAAACCTTACACTTTCAAGCGTATGTTAGTGGGAATAAGTAGGGAATGGAGTGCTTTTGGAGGGGGTTTTAAGCTAACCTCGAAATCATCTATTGAAAATTCGTAGGCGAGCGTTTTCCAACAGTGAGTCATACATATAACACCAATAGTATTCTCTACTTGGGGAATCTTTTCCCGAAAGTTTTCCTCCCGCATGAAGAGTTGGGTTGTTGCATATCAAGGCGTACCTTCTTCACGACCTTGATATTGGTTGCACCTGCCTCAGAGGGGCATAAGCAGCATCGCGGGGTCCCAGTGTCCGGCACGGTGCAGCTGAAAATTTCGTTAGGAATGAGGCTGGTCCGGGTCGGATAAATACAGTACGAATCAAGGCCTCATCCGGCTGATTATCGCAGCCGCACTGTCCAGCCCCCCACTCTTCAGCTGGCCCGACCCCGTTTGTCGGCTTAATCACCCCCGGCTCCCCCCCCTGCGCCCAACTCAATTTTTCCTTTCGCAGCAGCCCGCAAATAAAAGCTCCCCGCTACGCGAACCAAAACTCTTCGACCCTCTCGCATTCTTCTTCGCAAAATGCGCGGCACTCTCATCTTCGCGGGCTCTTCATGCCCGGCCCTCACTACGCAAATATGTGAGAACCTGGGCATGGCTCCTGCCGAGGCGGAGCTTACCCAATTTTCCAATGTAAGCTGAAGTGCGATCTTTGTTCTTTGGCCAATCCCCAAAAGACACAAAATTCTGCTGCCGTCAACACCAACGGCGGGGAGTCGGCGAGGATGAGACTCGCGACCTGTCGCGGCCTCTTCTCTCACCGGCTCTTGCCTTGATTGGACCAATTCCAAACTTGTTTGGACTCCCTGTTGAGGCTAACCCGTCACACAAAAGGGCGAGACGAGCGTGCGAATCTTGACTAGCGTCCGAGAGAAGGACGTCTTCGTTGTCCAGTCCGGCAGCGCCAATGTCAACGATACCATCATGGAACTGTTGATCATGATCTCGGCCTGCAAGGGCGGCTCGTCGAACAAGATCACTGGTAAGCACAACCCCTTGCTCACTCAATCCACCACCATCGCGTCGCTAACCCTCGTCCTTCCAGCTGTGCTGCCGTACTTCCCCTACAGCCGCCAGTCCAAGAAGAAGTCCCACCGCGGTGCGATCACGGCGAGAATGCTGGCCAACCTCCTCGGCGTCGCTGGCGTTAAGCACGTCATCACCGTCGACCTCCACGCGTCTCAGATGCAGGGCTTTTTCAAATGTCCCGTCGACAACCTCCACGCCGAGCCCTTGTTGGCGAGATGGATCCGTCACAACGTGCCCAACTGGAAGGAGGCTGTTGTCGTATCCAAGAACGCCGGCGGTACCAAGCGTGTGACATCGCTTGCGGACGCCCTGAAGCTGAACTTTGGAATGGTCACTACTGAGAAGAAGCGTGGTGGCAACATGACATCCAGCATGATCATGCACCACCTTGATAACTTCGAACGCGACCCCCTCTTGGAGAGCAGTCTTACTCCAACTGCCGGCAGACCCACTACCCCTCCCCCCAACGGTCGCGCTGCTAGAGTGAGAGCCGACGCTCACGGCTCGCCTCAGCACACCAACCCACCACGCTCTCATCCCCGCACTATGGATGAGCGGCCAACAACCCCTACACAGTCGAAGCCCACCAACGGTGCTACGGAGGACGACGAGGAGGGCGATGCGGAGTATGATGACCGCCGCGCTCACGAAGTCACCCACGGGCGTCTTGTCCAAGGTCACATTGTGGACGACGACTATCCATCGCCGGCTACCTCGACCGCGGGCGGCAGCGTCCGCGACGACGACCCGATGACCATGTCTCAGGCATCCTCCTTCTTCGCTCCTCAGCCCCACGCGCTGGGCGGCTCCGGCGACGCGGTTCCCGAATCAGACGAGGAAGACGACGTTCTCAAGGATCCCAAGGTCGAGCACATGATCACGCTGGTCGGCGATGTCAAGAACAGAACCGTCTTCATCGTGGATGACATGATCGATAAGCCCGGATCCTGGATTGCTGCGGCCGAGACTGTGGTCAAGAAGGGCCGCGCGAAGAAGGTCTACTGCATGGCCACCCACGGCGTCTTTGGCGGCGACTGCCTTGAGCAGATGCAGAAATGCGAGTGCATTGACACCATCATCGTAACCAACAGCTTTCCCATTCCTGAGGACCAGGCCAAGCGCACCCCCAAGCTTGTCGTCCTTGACCTCTCTTTCCTCCTCGCCGAGGCCATCCGCCGCAACCACTACGGCGAGTCAATCTCTCCCTTGTACCAGCACATCCTGGACTAGAAGAATTCAGCAAAAGAGCGTGGGGCGGAATTATGCCATTCTGCCAGACTATCACTGCTTCTTTTCTTGCATTTCTTTCTTGGTCTAAGAACTGTACTCTGGGCCTCGTGTGCGTTTTCATTGGCATCCTTGGGAGGTGTGATGGCATTCTAGCGCGGCGTTTGGGAGGCGGCAACGGCACAGTGGAAAAAGCCAGAATGGCGGCAACACAAAAGTGCGACCTGGGAATGGTCTGCCACTTGAAACGTTTTTTTACATGGTCAGTATTAGACATGAATTATGATCTTGATACCTCATCCGACCGCAACCTTTATGGTGTGTGTGTCACGTGTGTGCTACACTAATATTTCCTTTTCTTGACTCTCGGAGGATTTCCTCCCCCCCCAACGATGCTGTCTTCTGGACAGCAAGGGCTATCTTCATCCCAGAAGAAGTCCTTAACGGAGCGTTGGTAGATCAAATTTTCGGCTAAAAGAAGACCCCTCGCTCAGTCTGCCTTTATGGCGTTCACCACCTCCGGGATGGGTGGGCGAGGGGTAAGAGAAACCTTCGAACATGCTTTTCCTCCAGTGCAATGTATTTTACTTCTGAGATCTCATCTGCCAACTTGCTTGATTACAGCGGTCTCGCTAGTAACTGGTCAAAATTTGAGGTTTTTTTATATCTGTAGTTACACAGGGTAATAATAATACAAGCAACTCATCCTCATCTCATGTTTGGTTTCTCTCTTCTTCTTTTTTTTTTCCTCATGATACGTTCGTGACATCGTCCCTAAGAGCATGCCCTCCAGTCCGTCCGCACGTCCTCACATGTCACATTTCTCCTTACAAACACAGTAAAGTTACATCCCATACTCTGCCATTTCTGTTTCCCGGAATACACACACAATCGTTCCCTCACTCACTCGAACAGCTCCCACCCGTGAATCTCGTCCAGCAGCGACACAAACGTGCTCTTCTCGTCCTCCTCCTTCACCGCAGCGACGTCCTTGAGCAGCTCCTCGCTGAAGTTGCCGGTGCCGGCGCCCTTGATGATGCGCCACGCGCGGCGGAACTCGTCGCGGATGCCGACGATGCCGTTGTGCGTCACGGTGCGGGCGACGTTATGGTCGAGCTCGAAGGGGTCTTCGATGGCGAAGAGGTAGCGGTGCCGGACCTCCTTCACCTCGCCATTCTTGTGGGATGCGGCGGTGACGGCGGCGGCGGTCGTGGGCGTGGCGACGGCTGGCTTGCCACCGACGGTCGGGGATGGCGCGTCCTGCGATGTGGTCGCGGCGGACGGTGTGGTCGGGGTAGGCGGGTCGATGGGTGATTTGAGAGCAAAGTGCGCCGCGGCTGCGGGAGGGGCCTCGGTGCCGGGGGAGTTGACGGCGTTGGGGCGGTATTCGATGACGGTCTTGGCGCCGGTCCAGCCCTTCTCGGACTTGGAGAGCAGGCCGCCTGGGGTGCGGATGCTGAGGACGTCGCGGCCCCAGTCGTAGCCTCGACCGGGGTACGTGCTCATGGAGCCGTTCTGGGCGTAGTACTCGAAGAAGCCGCGGAGAAGGTGGCCTATAGACTCGCGGTTGCTGTTGATAAGGTTCATCTGGGCAAGGCGGCGGATCTCGGGCTCGTCGCGCCAGAAGCCGACGAAGCGTCCGCGGCACATGATACTGTCATCGGGGCCGGTGGGAGATATGCCCTCGGGCGGCGGGGCTGGGCCGAGTTGTTGAAGGTTGGGGCAGATGAAGGGCTGGACGACGTTGACGAGGTAATGCAGCATCATGAGGACGTAGCCATAGCTGCTAAGGGTGCCACGGTATGGTGTGTTTATACCGCGGACCTTTGCCCAATGCTTGATGAACAGGACGAGGGGCCGGACGCGAGGGTCGGTGTGGGAGTAGCACCGGAGCAACAGAGTGTTATGAAGGGCAAGGTGGGCGGAGAAGTTGATGTCGCACTGCACGCCTACGCCGGATTTGGGGAACTCAAGCTTGTCGCGGTAAGGGTCGCGGGGCTGGTTGACGGACATCTTTGCCGGGTCCTTGATCTCGCGCATGCGTTTGATGATTTCAATGTTTTGTTTCGTGACGGGGATGACGTAGTCATAGTGAGGGTCTTCCGCATTGCTCTTGCGCATGGGGCCACGAAGGACGGAGATATATTCTCTAATGTCGCTTTCGAGAGTCGCATCGTACAAGTCATGGTCCAGAGCCTTCTCGAGCTCAGACGCCAGCTGTAGACTCTTGTGGCGGCGGGCAACGGCGTGGATGCTGATATTCGCGGGGGAGGCATCGATGAATTCTGCGACCTGCGTGCGAATGCTGTTGATCCATATGCCGGACGCGAATTTCTCGATGATGAGATTTTGGGCAGCCACCAAGCTGGCGGCATCGCGGGGTCTAAGCTGCGACACAACTTTGGACGTTCTGTTGTGATACGCGCCAGCGGCCTCGTGTTGGCTCTGCTCGAGTGTGAGTAGTTGTGCGGTTGGCAGCTTTCTGAGCTTCTCCAATTGGATTTGAAGATGCTTGGTGTAAGTCAGCGGCTCAATGCCAAAGTGTGGCTGATCTTGGAGGGACTTCCAAGCTGCGATGAGCGCGTTAGCAGAATCGTCAGCATCCTCGGCACTAGCGACGATAGTATTTGCCTCGCAAAGCATGACGATTCTTTCGCCTTCCATTTGCGCGTAGACGCCGGCTAACGAACGGTAGTTGGGTACGTTGGCGAGGGGCTTAAAGGACAGCGAGTGATAAGCCGACAACCTGTTCTTCAGTTCCCTATTGTGAAGACCGGCGAAGAAGGCCTCGCACACTTTGTTAAGGAGCACGTAGTCTCCTTCTGTCAGCTCGCGGCAGTTTGACACAGTAACGTCACGACCTCCCAACTTTCTCAATGCCCGCTTCGCCACATTATAGTAAGCGGGTAGAGACATGTTGGTTGACTGGCGCATGCTCAGCTTCGACTCGGAGGCATCTCCCACCGTAGGGGACGTTGCGTCTGTCTTATGATCAGCCGACTCGTCTGGCTGATCGTTGGTAGCCTCCTTGGCATGGGTAGCTTCAGTGTCGGCATGCTCATCCTCATCGGCTGCGTCTGCATGGTCGACGTCGACAATACCCTTTTCCCATTTGTCTCGTTCTTCCAGCAGGTCCAATCTCAGTCTCTCAGGGGGTTTCTCGCAAAGTTTGATAATCGGCACCCTGGTTCGAGTGAGGAGACGAGCGCCAAGGCCGAGTTCCAAGAAAGCCTTCTCAATGAGCCTGGGAATGGGTGAGCCTGCGGCATCCGGTTGTGGTTGGGAAAGCGGCGAGACGAGGCCAAGATCCATGTCGGATGCTTTGGTAGCGAAACCTGAGGAAAGACTGCCGAAGCATTTCAACTCCACAGACTGGGGAGGGAAGTTCTCAATGTCATTCTGTTGCTGCTCATACTCGGCGATGGCAACCCGGCAGACTTGCTCAATCTTGAGGCGAAAGTTTTCCTTCTCGAGGATCTCGCCGCGTTCAATCTCCGCGCCAGCAACAAGAGTGCTGCAGAGCCCCTCCAGGTAGGCGGCCTGATTCTCCAGCTCCTCGGGACGGAACTGGTGCTGGGAGCCACGGGGACTGTAGAGCTGACCGTGAGGATTGCGCGGATATCTGGGCGATCCATTGTCCTGACGCGCGAAATGAGGCTGATCACCATGGTAGCGAGAGGTGTCCAAATTTCCGGGGTGTCGAGGTCCATCACGTCTTGGCGTGTGCGGTTGCATTCCAGCATACTGACCCTGCGGCTGGCCCTGGCCATGGTAAGGGGCCGCGTGGTGAGATCTTCCGCCATTCTGGTGGAAGCCGGGAGGATGAGACGGATGACCCGGAGATCCGGAAAAAGGTCTTCCGTAATGGGTAGGCGGCGAAGGTCGAGTATCAATGGGAATTGACAGCTGGGCGTTCATCTGGCGTCTTTGGGCTTGATTGGGGCGCTTTCTGGAAATCTTGGGCGAGCCTGGGAGCTTGCCATCGACGGGAGCTGAGGCAGGATTGTCATTGTTGGCGGTTTGCGCAGAAGCAGCACCGACAGGGAGAGGTGCGGCCGTTCGCGGGGTGTCAGAGAATTGGGGCGGGCCGTTCGTAGGGGGAGCATTGGTGAGAATCAAATTTCTCAGGCGATTCTCGAGGGCACTGGGGCCGGCAGGCTGCCCGTCACTACTCTGCATGATGGCGATGTCTTCCTGCGGTCGTACTCATGCGATGTAGTTGGCCAGAGCTTGGCGATGGTGATGTTGCTGTGGGGTTGAGTGAGCTTGAGGTTTCTGCTACGGGCTCGCAGCACTGCGTCCTCACCTGGTCAGGAACGTCTGGGGAACATGGCCGGTGTCTGAGAGTTGAGGTGTGAGGTGGTTGTTGTTCTATTGATCGGCTTGACGAAGAGGAAGGCTGATTTGCAGGACAGAAACCAGTTTCCGATTGCTGATCACCTCATTCAAGCGTGCAGTGTAAATCTGGAGTGAGGTGAAAGCTGGACGTGGGGAAGGTACATCCCTTGGTGAGGGGCTACAGTGTAGAACGAATGGATACTGTGCATATTTGGCGTGCTCGGGCGACTTTGAACTGTGCGAAGCTTGGTCGGCGCCGACTGGCCTTGATGGGACGGCAGGAACGAAGTCAAAGTAAAGTCCCTGGATGGATTAAAGTTGGTGTTATAAGCTTTCCGACTCAATTGGAAGCGTCTTGGAAAGGAAAGTGATGTCGAGGTGTCAAGTGATCAACTGTCACACGCGGGATACGAACACTTCGTGTACATGAAGCACAGGCGCAAATATAGTTAATTCATAGAATTACATTGCTATGCTAATTGCAGCCTCTACCAGTCTTTTACATCCATCCATCGCAATTGCCCCTGTAGTAAGTGCTGTGAGCAGTCTTTTGAGTCTGTCTTATCTTATCCTGACTGCAATACCTCTTTGCTTCGACCGTTGTAGTGAGGGCTGTAATTATTGTCCAGCGCCAAGTTTGAGCCTGTAACTTCAATGATGAAATGAGTTCAATCGGTTTCAACGGCGGAAAATCAAGTAGTTCAACGCAATTCCGAACGTCTCTCAAGCTGCCTCTCTACTATTTGTCCCTACCTGAGTTGATGAATTACACAATCGCAACGTGCAGCATGGTCGCAAGTTCATCCCTATGACGTTCTTCCCCAGCAAGGCTAGCCCCTTCCATATGCGGCTCCTGCTGCTGAGGTGCATTGCCAGGCACTGTGAGCCACCCGCGCTAAAAAGGTACTGTTCCCTGCAAAAGCTGAGACCTGCAAGTACTCCGCACCAAACACAAGCAGGCGGGTACCTACAATGCAGGTCTCCTCAGAGCACCCGACCCACTAGTACCAGCTTTTCTGTAAGCTCCCTGAGCTGGGCTGGCTGCCTAGGTGCGCTCAACTTCCAAGGCGCGCCTTCCAATAACCTTCTTCCCGCGACCACGCCGTCCTCGTCGCCGCTTCTCCTCTTTGTCATCATCTGCCTCTTCGCGACTACTAATCCACATCGCATCGCAGGCAAATACTTGGAAAGTTCGGTTGGACGAGTTTAAAGCATTCTTCAGAGACATTACTTTTCAACTGCATAGCCTTGCTATTTGTCCTCGGCGTGCTTCAACTACTTTGCGCCCGCAGCGCCGTCTCTTCCGTTCACGTCACGACTCGTCTGGCCTCTGCGGTGCCGACTGCCTGCCCCAAATCGAAACTTCGACGCCTTCGCAACGAGATTCCGGTGGCTCCATCGAATAACGATCGGCTGCTAGTGTGCCAGCAGCAAGTTACGACCTCGAGATGAGCGCGCCACCGCCCGGCATGCCGAACGGCCAAAACCCCAATGGCCCGCCTCGCCCTCCTCCGATCAAGCGACGACCTCGCGGAGACCCTCTAGTCGCCCGCAAACGCCCTGGCCAACCTCGACCCGCGGCTTCGCGTCCTGCGCCGAATACCCTGCAGACTGCAGCAGGCGCTCGACCCTCTCCGGGCGCGTCAGGCCATCTCGGTCATCAGCGTCCCGAGACCGAAGATGAAATCAAAACTAGAAGAGCGGCAAACGGTGGCTGGCTCGATCCTCCCCCACAAAATGTGAGAGAGTACAAGATCGTGACCACAAAGAAGGCATTGAAGGACGGCATTCGACATCACATAATGAAGCTCTCATCTTCCAAGGCGGACCTCGAGCAGAAAGGAATCGACCCCACGAACCAAGATGAGTTCACCAGACCTGTGACGCTCCAGCGACGCGATCCTCGCCAACCGCCGCCTGGCCGCGAGGTCAAGCAGGAGGCTCCCGAGCCACCGCCGGTTGACGAGAAGGAGGCTGAGAGATTGGCACAGTTGAAGGCTGAGCGTGAGGCTGTTCGCGCCGTCGAATTGGCAAAGAGTGCGCCGAGTCTCAAAGACCCCAGTCTAGACAAGAAACCCGCGCCGAAGAAGAAGAAGGAGGAGGATGTGCAGTTCCACCGACAACCCAGAACCGAGAAGGAGAAGAAGCAGCAGGAATTGCGATATGAGGAGGCACTTCCTTGGCATCTCGAAGACGCTGATGGCAAGAACGTCTGGGTAGGATCCTACGTCGCACCGTTGTCGGAGACCACCGTCGCCTTCGTTGCTACCAGAGACGGGAAGTTTGCGGCTGTTCCCTTGGAAAAGTGGTACAAATTCACGGCGAAGCCGCACTTCAACACGATGAGACTGGAAGAAGCCGAGGCCTTGATGAGCAAGAAAACGGATGTCGGCCGCTGGTACATGCGCGATAAGCAAAAGAAGAGTGAGCAAGAGGAGTGGGATGCAACTAGACATGCACTCTACGGCCCGGCAAGAATCAAGACGGAGAGTAACACTTTCCGTGCCGCTTCTCGCGAGGAGAAGATGGACCACGATCAGATCGATATGGAAGGAGATGAGTTCCAGGACGACGACGAGGCCCCGGGATTGGAAGTCGACAATGACGAGGACTTCAAGGAGGCGACCGAACGTATCCGCCGTGACCAGCTCGGTGCTAATCTCTTTGGCGATGCTGATGAAAACAGAGTTCAGAAGGAGCTCGACGAAGAAAGAAAGGCTGAGGAGGAGCGTCGCAAAGAGGGAAAGCGGACTACGAAGGCGCTCATCAAGAGAGAGAAGGAAACCATCTATCAATCCGACTCAAGTGGCTATGATCCCTTCGAGTCTTCCTCGGTACGTTCAACCCGACACGCATTTTCAGCTTTTGGCTAACTGTGGACCCAGAGTGACGAAGACTCCGACGAGGAGAAGAAAGATGATGAGAATAAAGACAAGGACAAGGAGAAGGAAGACGAGCAGAAGGGAGACTCGAAGGACAAGAACGCCTCGGGTGTGTCTTCCAAGGGCAACACGACCCCATCTGGCCGACAGAAACATACAGACGCTCTGAAAAAGGGCAAGTCCTTGAAGCGTCCCGGCTCCCCCAACTTGTCGGAATCTAGTGGAAACGAGTCTTCTCGCAAGAAGATGAAGAAGCAGACTGCTTCCGTTCACCAAAGCCGTTCGTCGACTCCCTTGTCTCAAGGCCCGGTGGGCAAGAGCAACCTGGGCAAGGGTGTAATGAGCGATGGCGAAGCCACGGCAGGAGAGATGTCGGATGGCCAGCTGCGGCAGAAGAAGAAGATCAAGCTCGTCGGAAGTGGCGCAAGAGGAACCCCTGTGGGATCGAGGGCCGGTAGTCCCGCTCCCGCTGCACCTGGTAAGTCTTCTTTCAGACATCCAATCTTTAGACCCTCTAGACAAGCTGACTCGTTGCGGCAGGCTCCAAGCCTGGTTCACCTATTCCAGAAGGCTCCCCACGCGCTGGATCTCCCGGCCCTATCGAGCCCTGGGAGATCATCAATGCTCTGCCAGAGCTTCCAAGTGGCATTACCATTGGAAATCTTATGAGAAAGTTTGCTGGTCGTATTGGAGACGGTCCTGGGCAGATGGACCGCAAGGAGTGGATCAAGCTTGTCAGAGAGAATTGCCTGTACGGGCCTGACAAGGTACTCCGTCGCAAGTCTTAGATAGTACGCCGTGTCTGAGCCACCAGCATGCAGGAATAGGTTGCCTTTTCCTGGATCTATCCACCAGATAGACTTAGAGCTTAGACCTCCCTACCATAATGCATTGGCGAGGAACAGGCTTGCTTCTTTCAGTCTGCCTATTCCGTCTATCGGCTCATATTTGTCTTCTACGAAATCCACGGCCTTTGCCACCGATTTTCGCTTCGAGTGATTCCGAAGCTACACACGGCCACTGTGACTGTGACAGTCTAGACTTTCACTTTCAGCGAAAGAAGTAGAGATGCTGATTTGGGTTGCGAGTCACAAGCCAGGGAGATGTGTCGGAATTTCAAGATCAAATGTGCTGGCCATGCCATAGTCATTAAATGATGTTCCATCAAACTCCTCGCCAACCACGGTGTTTTAACACCGTAACATATGCGATTTTACTCGTCCATCTGCCACTCATAAGTGAGCCCCTTATTCCGCTCTTTCCGGTTCAACGCCCTGAACCTCTCTCCCTCAAACCCGTTACTCCTGTCCACGCCATCCCACCTGTAGCCCGGTCGGATGCCATACCGATTTGGCGGTGCAGCGCCTGCATATACCGGCCTCTTCTTGCCCTTCTTGCCCTTGGCCCCCGGCCCCGTCTTCTCAACCATGAACTGCGCCATCGGGTCGTTCCACCTCTCCTTCTCCTTAAGCTCCCTGTTCATCTCCTCATCGTCCGCCGTCCGGGCGAAGTTCATGAGCTTCGCGTCCTCGAGCGCCTCCCTCCGCTTCCGCGCCTCCTCGAGCTGCACCTCGCCCTTGGGCGCCAGCTTCGCCAGCCTCTCCTTCTCCTCCGCCTCGGCCGCTAGCCTGCGCGCTTCGGCGCGCTTCATGGACACGTCCACCCTGCGACCCGTGGCGTCGCGGTATACCGTCTCCTGCTCCTTGCCCGACTTCCTCAGCTTCGCGAACTCGGCCTCCTCGGCCTGCTGCCGCCTCTTCAGCTGCGCCGACACCGACGCCGCGCTCTGCAGGCCCGCGTGCGTGCCGTCGCTCATCTTGACCACCCCCGCGTCGTTGCCGCCGCCTTCTACCACAGGCATCTCGTCGTCGGCCTGTGCGGCGGCGGCGTTCTCTGCGGCCGCCGAGGCGAGGATGGCGTCTGCGGCGGCAGCGGCATCGTCGTCGTCTGTTTGTTTCGAGGGCCCGTTGCCGGCGACGGATTTCCAGTTTGATTTCTTTGTGCGGCGGAACTCGGCTGACTTGGCCCCGGACACGAGCATCGGGCCGCCGTCGTCGTCATCGTTGTCTTGTGTGGACTTGCCCCAGTTGTCGTCGTCGTCTGCGATGATGAGGCCTTGGTTTTCGGCGGCGGCCTTGCGCTTGCGCTTCTTGGAGGGCTTAGGATCTGCTACCAGGTAGCGTGTGGCGAGGTATGAGGAGAGGTCGGACGGCATGTTTGGAAAGCTTTGATTTCTAGAAAAGGCAAAATGCGTATGGGGGTGGGTATCGTTTGGAAGCTGGGTGGAAGTTATCTAGAAGAAAGTCGCGAGCTTGGATGCTTCGCTGCTAATGCAGCTGCAACCTGCACTGTACAAACGGTTCGCGACGCACGGGCGCCAGGTCCAAGAAAAGGCAGGGGCCGCGGAAGGGACAAGGGTCCCCCACTCTCCTCCGCGGGTAGACGTGCATGTGACGGGGCGCTAGTCACTTATCGGAGGATCAAATGTCTCCCGCCCCGAGCCTGAACGACGGCTTTCTGGAGGTAATTTGGATTACTGGCAGCTTGCTGTATCTTTCGCGGCCTTGTGATGGAACAGTCTTTGTATGTCTATACGATCATATTGTGGGAGTGAACTGGATGGTGCTGACTGACTTTCAAGTTTACGGACTGATCCAACCTCGTATTTTCTTCTGCGATCCACCCTCGAGAGAGCCTCCCCCCCTTATGATTACGTCGCCCGAAGCCACTCGAACGAATAACGAGGTCTAATCTAGAGCCGCAACCGCTGCTTCTTCCCAACCCCCACGATATCGACGCGAACCGCAAAACCGCAAAACCGCAGAACTTGCGAGAAGTCCGAGCCGGAAAAGGGTATCAGTCGTTCCCGCGGCTGATATACCTCGGACCACCACCACTTCCCCCATGCAGTCCCCGGACAACGATGCGTCACCAACCGATGCGATCCAGGCGCTGCCGATGGCCGCCTCCACCGTGAGGCTGCCCAAGAGGCAGTCCGTGCCGGAGGGCCACCCGCTGTCCCAGTCCGAAGTCAGCCTGCCGCACCGCCGATCGCACCCCTCGGCCGCGCCCCTCTTCGCCTCGACCCTGACCCCGCCGGGCTCACGGTCCGGATCGCCCATGGGACGCGGCTCGCCCGCCCGCAGCACCATGTCCGGCTCCGTCTTCGGCGGCCCGGCGGGGAGGTCTTTGATCGACATCTCATCCGACAGCCCCGGCGATCCACGCAACCTGCTCGTCAAGGCATACGTCCCACACGTTGCGATCTACACCTCCAAGGATACGGACGAGCTGGCGAAGGAGAAGGGCTTCAAGAATGGTTTGTGGGAGCTGTTGAGGCCGTTTGGCGAGCAGGTGCAGGGCAAGGTCACTATTAGAGACAGCAACGGCGCGAGCAGGACATGGGAGGACTATTCCATCCGGTTCGTCAAATTTGGAGAGAACATTGACTCGCCGGAGAGCGCGAGAGGCGGCGCGCAGGCCAACGGGCAGCCAGGGTCTTCGCTCAAGTCGAGGAACACCCTCGAAGATGTCGAGGCCGTTGTCGATCGCCATCTGTCTTACGCCGAGGATTCCTTCTTGCATACTCCGCACCACGGCGCCTTCACGAGGCAAGGGTTGGACGTGGAGGCTACCTCGCCATACTACTCGCTATACCTGAGGAGACTTCTCTCAGGCATCCAGGTATCACCTCATGAGACATTTGCGCATCCGGTCGCGTGCGTCATTGCTATCAGCTCAAGAAGCCCTTCGCCGATCGAGGACCTGCGGAAACTGTACAATGACACGAGCTCCGGCGAAAATAAGCTGCCGGTCTGGGTGGATGGGGACTATCTGCGATATTATGTTCTGGTTCACGACGAAGAGCGCGACGACATAACGCGGTCACTAGCTCTGTTTGACCAGATGAAGCGCCACCTCGGGCTGCACTGCCACTTGCTACGGCTACGAAGTACGCAAAGCGCTGAGACCGACGACGACAGTATACCGCTTCCTCGCAGCGACTGGATGTCCGCGGCCGAAGAGCTTGTTGATATCCGACACAGCGAGGACCAGGAAGACTTCGAGGACCCGACGAGGTACATTTTCGAGTCTGACGCGACAGCGATCCGCACGTTTGTGAGGGAAATGGTGACACAGTCTATTGTGCCTACCATGGAGCGGCATGTGTCTTTATGGAACGACCAGGTCGCATCTCGGAGGAGAGGCATCACCGGCAGATTCATGAGCATATCAAGAAAATGGGGCGGCTTCGGCAGCAGCTCGAGGTCATCGGTGGTAGGCAGTGGATCATCCAGCAGCTATGACCCTGCGGGATTCTATCGGCCAGATGCCTCGGAAGCTATTATGCGAAAGCTTGCCGATTTCGCTTTCATGCTGAGAGATTACAAGCTGGCGCACTCGACGTACGACCTCTTGAGATCCGATTTCAGCGACGCCAAGGCGTGGCGGTATCACGCGGCGACCAACGAGATGGCCGCCGTCAGCCTCCTGATCATGCCGCAAAACCTTTCCTCAAAGTCTCGCGCCGAAACGATTGACCAAATGCTCGAAGCGGCCTTCTACTCCTACCAAACACGATGCAGCGCCCCATTCGGAGCTCTGCGCTCGCTTACCCTGGGCATTGAGCTCCTCCGCCTCAGGGGCGGAAGCAGCGTTGACGATGCGGTCAGATGGGGCATCCGGCTCCTCGACTCCAAGATCCTAGGCAAGATCGGCGACGCTCTCATGAAGGAGCGTCTTGCTGTGTGTTACTCGGCCAAACCCGGCGTCGGGTCTGGCTCCTGGGGCCATCGCAAGCGCAAGTCGGCCATGTGGTGTGTCTTGGCCGGCGAGTCCTGGCTGCTTCAGCAAAAATACATCCAGTCGCAGCGCTGTCTCAACGAGGCAGGGCGGATATGGTCCGACCTCCCGCACGAGAACGGCATCTCCAAGTTTGACGTCGCCAACGACTTCGTGACGGGTCTGCAGCATCAGCTCGACGAAAAGCTCGAGGCCGAGGATGCCGGCGACGAATCGGCGTCTCAGGAAGCCGAGGACGTCGTTGTGGACGAAGAGAGCGAGGCTCTGGATCTGCGGTCGAGGAGGGCGAGCATGATGGGCCGCGCGGGGCCACAGGCTGCCAATCTTGAGACGGCGCCGTTACATAAAGTAAACTCGGCCGAGGACGAAGGGGCTGACGACTCTGTACAAAATGATTTTGGATAAAGACATGATCTGGTATGAGGATGGCGCTGGGTGATTGGGGTTGTAGATGCGTTCTTATGAAGCGGGCTAATAGCATTTACACCGTTTTGATGAATGCACTTGTCTCTTTTCATTTCGTGACTTGATATCCCATCTGCTCGAGCTTGTCGTTTCGCGGACAAGGAGTAGCTACTGAATGGGACGAGGACTTCTCATCCAAGCTTAGATGTCTGGCATTCACGATGTGAAGCTGAGGCACGTCGAAGTCCATCAACCCTGTACGTACCCGCAGCTGCCAGGGTCCCCAGGATTTTCCCAGTGATCTCACAGGCAACCGATAGGGGGAAGCACCGCTAAAAGTACGCCGATAAGGCGCCACCCCACCACGGGCCAACATGGAAGCTCCCCCGTCCTTCCGTCTTTCATGAGAGATCACAGGAACTTCAAACCTTCCAACGTCGCTTCAAAAGAAGGCACCCCTTAGCAGGCCCTCTTCAGACTCTGAGAGAATCACCGCGCCAACTGCTACTACCCGCCGCGAGGATCCCACGAGAAACAAAACAACAAACAGGTCTGCAGCCGTTCTCGTTGTCACCTGGTCACGATGGGCGACCTAGCAGCCTTCCTCACGGAACACGACCAGAACTTCCGCAAGTTTGTCCAACCTACTCCACCACCTGGATAATAGCCTCAGACTTCTAACAAGCCTTGCAGAGCACGTCTCCCCGCTCTCTACTCCGATTTCCGACCTCAACGAACCTTGAACCCCGATGGCTTCCAAGCGAACATGAGCGCCTGGCGGCAGGCCCTCGCCCGCGCGGCCTGGGAAGGGAGGATACCCTCGCAGCTCTCCGCGCCGAACCTGCTTGTCGTAGACGTCGATGATAACCTCCTCCGCGCCCTCGAGAGCAAACAGTTCGGCCGGCCCCTCGCCCTGGGTACGGTCGTCCGCGAAGCCGTCGCCGATAAGGACCTCTACCCCGTCAAAGAGTTCCTCGGCGCAAAGGACAGCATATACGCCAAGACGTGGTCGCAGGTGCCGTGGAGCGTCGTGTCGTGGGCGGCGGGGCAGCTCGGGTTCGGCGGCGGGTCGACGTCGGGCGAGGACAAGCTGCCTAAGGGGCAGTTCGTCGTGCTCAAGAACGTCGAGACCACGGCCAAGAAGCTCGCGGAGAAGGTCAGCCCCGCGGACACGAGATTCGACCGCACGTATACGAAGACACACTTCCAGAAGACGTTTGCGGACGCGTTGGTCGAGCAGAGGAGGCTATCCGAGAAGGACGTCGACATTCTGCTCGTCTTCCTGTCGCGGGACAAGGGGCTGGTGGTGTATGACGGCAAGGTGGTCAAGATCAAGGGGATAGGGGCGGACGAGGACGAGGCTGCTATAACGGAGGAGGACGCCGCGGTCTCGTCTCTGAAGGAACTCATCGAGGACCTGCAGAAGCAGACTGCGCTGCTCTCCACGCGCATCGACGAGCTCACGGTCACCGCGAAGGAGGCCGTCGCGAAGAAGAACAAGGTGGCGGCGATGGCGGCGCTCAAGTCGAAGAAGGTGGCCGAGAACTCGCTGCAGACGCGCTTCGCGACGCTGGGGCAGCTGGAGGACGTGGCAGCGAGGATCCAGACGGCGCGCGACCAGGTGCAGCTCGTGAAGGTTATGGAGGCGAGCGCGGGGGCGCTCAAGGGGCTCAACGAGAAGGTCGGCGGGGCGGACCGGGTCGGGGACGTGGTCGCCTCGCTGCGGGAGCAGATGGGCGAGGTGGACGAGGTGGGCGACATCATTGCGGATGCGAACGCGGCGCCGGCGGATGAGGTGGAGGTCGACGACGAGTTGGCGGAGATGGAGCGCGAGGAGAGGGAGAAGGAGGAGGCGAAGGAGAGGGCAAAGAAAGAAGCCGAGGAGGCCAAGGAGAGGGCGAGGAGAGAGGCGGAGGAGGCCAAGGAGGCGGAGGAGATGGAGAAGAGACTCGAGGCAGAGATGCAAGGGCTGAAGGCGCCCGTGACGGAACCTTCGGGAGAGAAGACGCCTTCGAGGGAGACGGCAGAAGACCTGGAGAACTTGGAGTTGGAGGAACGGCCGCAGCCACAAGCTGCATAGAGGCCATGACTTCTGTACTATGTACGGTGTTTTACGATAGATGGTGGCGTTTGGGGATTCTGTACATTTATGTTGGAGGGTATCATAATGAAGCGACATCGCATCTGCTATTATTTACAACATAACGTTCACCGTGCTTCTTGGCTATTTGTTGCGCCAATGTCCACCGCGGGTATCTGCTCTGAAAAGCCGTCCTGCAAATAATATGCCGATGAGGGCGGTTTTGGAATCGCAGCCTCGGGCGCGGGAGTGGCCACGGGGCCTACAGAGGGCTCCGTCAGGTCAACCATCATGACCTCCGCTCCTGCGGTCTCAACCATCTCTAAACTCTTCACCCTCTCTGTGTTCTCCACGAGTCCTGGTGTAGCAGCATCCGACTCTTTCTGTGCCGTAGCATCTTCAGCAGCCGCCTCCTCCGTCTTCTGCTTCGCCTGCGCCCTGCTCTTCCTTGCATTCGCAATCAAGTCCTTGAACGAGTCGTCGTGCTTCACGGCCCACGCCGCGCCATCAAACTCCTTGTCCTTGACTGCGGCCCCCGGGCGGGCCGCGAACATGGGCGCCTTCGCACCCTGTGTGCGTTCCCACACGTCAAGATCATGCAGCAACTCCGCGCGGCGTTTTGGGCGCGCCGAGTCGCAGTTTGCGTTCCACAGCGTCACCCACTCCTTATGGCGCTTCTCGAGCTGCTGCCGCGTGCCGTTCGTGGAGAGGCCGAGGTCGGACATTCTCTTGCGGAGGGCAACGTCTTTCAGCATGGAGTAGGCGATGGCGGGGAGGCGCTCGGGAGCCGGAGTCTGGCGCGGAGGAGCGGCGCCACGCGCAGGCGTGTTCGGGGTCGGAGTGCGACTCGCGCTGGGACGGGAGGGCTGCGGCTGGGGGCCAGGACATTTGTCGAGGTGGCTAAAAACTTGGAATTGCTTCATGCGGGTTTGGCAGATTGGGCAGGGGACGAGACCGTCTTCTGGTGCTGGGAAGTTGTCAGCGAAGGGTGCAGACTAGCAAAGACGGGGGTTTGGCTTACTGAATGTTGCGTCGTCTGCTTCGTCGTCCTCTTCCTCTTCTCTGGGCTCTGGATTGTGTTCATCCTCTAGGTCTACCACCGTTGTTGACTGGCCCGCCCTTGTCCTGCTGAGTCTCGCTGAGCTCCTAAGTCTCTTCGTCTCGGGCTGGTGTTCCGGCGCGGAGTCTTCCTCCACAAGCTTCCTCTTTGGTGACGAGCCTCCGGCGGAGGCCTGGCCGGCGGTCCTGGCGAACTGCAATGTCGTTTTCCTCGCCTTTGTAAACGACTCGACAATCTCCTCCATGGCCCAGTTACTCCTCAACTTCAGTTCCTGGTCCGAGGCGCGGCAGAGCGGGCATTTGCCTTCGTTGGAGAGAGCGCGGCGGATGCATAGCGAGCAGAAGGTGTGGCAGCAGGACGTGAGCATGGGCGTCTTGAAGAAGTCCTTGCATACTTGGCATCGCAGCGCGGCTTCGACGGCCGATAGCCCTGACAAAGGCGTCGAGAGCCAGTCTGTGGAGTCGGGGACGTCGTCGAAGTTGTCCGCCATGCTGGGCGAGTGATGTCTTCGATGGAGGGGATTCTGGACAGGACTTCGTAGCAGAAGAGTATGCAACACGTCTGGCCTGAGGAAGGCACCGGTGAGGCAGGCTATGAACGGTTCAAAGACAATCGCGGCCTATGCGAAGACGGTGTGCCGGAAGTTTTCAGAAAGAACGTCAAAGTCGCGTCGAGGAGAGTGGCGGCGCGCTGGGCCTAGGCCAAGGACCGGGTTACAGGGGCAGGTGCTTAAGTGGATCACGTCACCAATTGCGCCTACCTGAGTGGTTCTAAGCAGGTACGTACCCAGAAATCAATTTACGCGTCTTCGTCGCGTCCTACCAACCCTCATCATCCCTCCTACATGAGAGCATCGTGAAATCGAGAGGGAGAGGTTCGACTCCGAGGGCATTTTTACTCCTCCGCACTGCGTCTTGCTATCCAACAACACCGGCATCCTCACCACACAGTTCCAAACATGGACGAGTACAAGAAGTACCTGGCAGACCAGGTCCTCAGCGAGGAGAAAATTGCAAGACGGCGCTTCATCTCATTTGCTAAGGTTCGGTACTGACAACTGTCTAGGTCACATACAGAAGTCTTAGCAGGGCACTCAAGACTCATGTCAATACTGCAAAGGCGTGAGTTCCTTCACGTCTACTACACATTATACTTGCTTATGTTCTCCAGTATGCTGTATGAGTTTCACCGATCTCAGAATGCCATGCGCCCTGGCACCATCCATGCGACCTACCTGATCTACGGCATTCGCAAAGTCGAGAACGTCCAAGAGGACGGCGATGTCGAGATGACCAGCTCTCCTCCCGATGTCGAGCCTTTGTCCGAAGATGTCGTCACTTACTCCCTATCCCTGGTTCCTGGCGATCGTCTAAAGGGTAAGAAATGATTTTTGATATCCTGGCCAGGCAATGTGCTAAAGCAAGCTCACAGAGGTTCTGGCTACGTACGAAGATGTTTCTTCGTTCCATGTCTACAGTCTGGCTCGTCATCCCATCAGAGTAAGGGCAGTGACTCCGTCATTTACCCAGGCACTAACAAGACCAAGGAGCCCCAGATGTTAGCAGACGTTTCCCAGCAGATTCGCGAGCAATCCGGTGATGACAGCATATCCATGCTGGAGACCTACGGCTCTATCACAAACCCTAATGTACGAAAGCGCGATCGCAAGGGCAAGCCAGTTCCTACGCCCGCACCTGTTGCTTCGGCGGCCAAGCCTGTCAAGAAGGAAACGTCCCCACCCACGGCAAAGCCCGCTGCCGACAAGAAGGCAGAGGAGCCGGTCAAGAAAGAGTCGAAGCCTGCTGCCAAGGAATCTCCATTCTCAATGGCTGCCGGCAAGAAGGGTGCAGCACCTCCCCCACTGAAGAAGAGTGGCTCTTCAGGTATCATGGGGTCGTTTGCGAAGGCCGCAGCAAAGGCTGCGAGCAAACCCAAGGAGGCACCGAAGAAGGCACTACCAGTCAACGACTCTCCTGCCCTGTCTGACGACGGCGAAGACGACGATGAAGATATCCCGGCTGCCAAACCCTCTTCTGATGGAAGGAAGTCCAGAAAGGAGCGCGAGGCCGACTTGAAGCGCATGATGGAGGAGGAGAGCGAGGAGGAAGAAGAGCCTGAGGAGAAGGAGGAGCCCGAAGACGAGTCGATGGAGGAGCCTGAGCCTGAACCCGAAGCGACGAAGGAGCCAGAGCAGTCCGAGGTCGTTGCTAGCAGCGGCGACGGCAGACGGCGCGGCAAGAGGAAGGTGATGAAGAAGAAGCAGATCATGGACGACGAAGGATATCTGGGTAGGTTCTGCCTCCAAGCATCATAATCATTGATACTGACGTAAGGATTCCAGTCACTATGGAAGAGGCTGTCTGGGAGGAGTTCTCAGAAGACGAAGCACCGAAACCAACTCCCGCTCCAGCTACCAAGCCCAAACCTTCAACAGCCCCAAGCTCCGGCAGTCAAGCCTCGAAACTCAAGAAGGCTGCGCCGAAGGGGCAGGGCAATATCATGTCATTTTTTTCCAAGAAGTGATTGAGGGCGCGGTGTAAATGGCTAGAATGGGAGGCTTGCATGTCACTCGGAGATGGACATCAAACTGCGAATTAATGTTACCTTGTTGAAGGAATCCTGAAGACGATATCAGAGTTAGCTGGTGATAGAGATAGGAAACTTTGAGCAAGTCGTGTGTCCCAACTGGATCTTTCAAAGTTATGGCGTGGAAAAACTGGCTGATGAGTTGATCCCGGACGAGAAACAGACAAATGTTTTAACAGTACCGGCCGCAACATCAAACACGGCAGATCGGACGTGAAGGCGGCACGGCGGCCCCGCGCGCACCCCGCAGTGGATCCACGTCGTTAATGCCGGACGCTAAGGGGGCGTTTGGCCCCCTGTCAGAGCTCCTGCAAGGGACCACAGTGACGAGATCTCCCCCCGGGCCCCAGCCAAGCGCAGGCGCAGCGGACACCTGGCTGTCGTGGTGTGGGAGCTCCCGTCCCAATTTCTTGCATCCGTCCGCTCGACATCAAACTCGAAAACAAATCGTCGTGGTGAACCACTCTCCCCTCCTAGAGGTTGCTGACGATACCCATGCGGACATAAAACATACCGCGGATTCCTTCTGTCTGCCTTTTCGGCCTCGAAGCCATGTCCCTCCGTACCTTTGTCGACGTGCTGCTGCCGCTTGCCGGTCTCCTCGTCGGCCATGTCTCCGCGGCGCAAGAGCCTCTTACTGGCGAGGACCGCGGCGCGTGCCCCAATTACGAGCAGTACTCTACTCACCCGCAGTATGTTGCAAACCCCTTGTTGCGGTTGACGTTGCTTGAGAATTGAAGTTGACTTGCTGGTTACAGTAAGCCCCTGAGCGAAGGCCCTCTCGGTCTCCCCTACCAAAGACCCGATCCACGATGCCGCACATTCCATTCTGAAGCGATTGAGAAGGTCATCCAGGATGTCACATCCCGAATGAAGGACCCCGACTTGGCCAGGCTTTTCGAGAATGCCTTCCCCTCGACCACAGACACAACAGTCAAGTTCCACACCGACGGGACGGACACTAGATTTGTCGACCTGAACGGCCGAAGCTTGCGCGACGAGGGCAAGTGGGAGGGTCCGCAATCCTTCGTGATCACGGGAGATATCATAGCAGAGTGGCTGCGCGACAGCACGAACCAGCTGTCCCCCTACCAGGCCCTGGCCAAGAAAGACCCCGCCATCTTCAAGCTCATCCTCGGCGCCATCAACACCCAGTCCGAGTACGTTATCGAGTCACCGTACTGCAATGCCTTCCAGCCGCCCCCGATTGCGAACCTGCAGCCGAGTCATAACGGACAGGACGACACTGTGCATCCAGTCTACGAGCCCTCGTTCGTGTTTGAATGCAAGTACGAATTGGACTCGTTGGCGCACTTCCTAGCTCTGGGAAATGACTTTTACGAGCACACTGACTCGAAAGACTTTTTGACGCCGAGATGGTACCTTGCTCTTGAGACGGTGCTTGACGTGCTGGAGCAGCAGTCCCACCCCACGTTTGACTCGGCGACGGGTCAGTACCAGAGGAACGAGTACACCTTCCAGCGCAAGACGGACCTCGGAACCGAAACCTTGAACCTCAAGGGCGTAGGCAACCCGCTCAACAATGGAACAGGTCTCGTGAGATCAGCCTTCAGGCCCAGCGATGATGCGACCATTCTTGGTTTCTTTATCCCGGCCAACGCCATGATGGCTGTCGAGCTGAAGCGCACGGCGGAGGTTCTGAAGGCTGCTGGGAAGGACGTACTTGCGCAGGAGGTGGCCAAGTGGAGCCAGACCATCACTGATGGCGTCTGGGAGCACGGCGTGGTGAAGCACAAGAAATACGGTGACGTGTTCGCGTACGAAGTTGACGGATACGGCTCGTCTATCCTCATGGATGATGCCAACTACCCCTCGCTTCTCGCATTGCCTCTCATGGGATTCTTGCCTCCAGAGGACAGGACTTACCAGAACACACGAAAGATGCTTCTGGAGAAGACTGGCAACCCTTACTATCTTGAGGGAAGAGCTTTCCATGGAATTGGAGGTGAGTGATAGTCATTTCTACATGAGAGTGATATGCTAACTCTGTCAGGACCCCACATCGGTCTATCCAATGCCTGGCCTATGAGTCTGTTGATTCAGGCCCAAACATCCGAGAGCGATGATGAGATCACAGAGTGCCTCGACCTCGTGCTGCGATCTGCCCGTCTGGGTCTGGTGCACGAGAGTGTCGAGGTCAACCACATCACTTCATACACCAGAAGCTGGTTTGCATGTAAGAACTTGACATCTGAACCAGTTTGGTAGTGACAATACTGACTACTTCAGGGGCCAACGGTGTTTTCGCCGAGACAATCTTGGATATCGCCAAACGCAAGCCGCACCTCATCTTCACAGAGGCCAAACCCTATCAAGTGTAGACGAGACGGACACTCCTGTAAATCACACGTAAATAGAGGCTCGTTGTAAGATGATTGACGGAGGAGCATTGGGCATGGCGACTGGATTCGCTTCACCTGCATTTTTATACCCAGAGGGCCTCTCATGACCTAAATCGAATTATGCATTAAGCTGGCACGCTGCTCGTGACGTTCCAACTCAGACCTTCATTAGGTCGCCATCGTAAATCATATTATTACTTTTATCTTCTCTTTGGTCGAGCATCTTATTTAACGTTGTCAACATCCAAAGCAGTGGACGACTTCCACTCAACCCCATCCTTCATAGCCTTCAATACCCTACCGAGCCGCTCAACGCCCTCAACAACATCCTCCTCAGGCTCCCATGAGAAACAGAGCCTAATCTCCCTCCCAAACCTCGCCGCGTGCTCATCCCCATGCACCTCAAACTGCGCCCCGTGCCCGATAACCAACTCCTCCGTCTCCTTAGCCCTCACCGCCGCCTCTCGGCTCGACATCCCCTCCGGCAGCGTGAACCACACGAAATACCCACCATACACCCCGGCCCCCTCCAACGAGCTCTCCCGCACCGCCACCGTCCCGCCCAGCGGTTTCTGCACGTGCTCCGCGATGGCCTCCATCATCGCACGGTGCCGCCTCGCCAGCGCCGGCCGCGTCTTCT